ATATGAATAAACCTTCTAGGGCAGTTGAGTAATTTACAAACATAAAATCATCCAAATTGCTTCAATCTAACATTGATAACCATCACTGAGAGTTGATCAAAATCGATACTCATCAATCACACATTCATCAACATCATTCGACATTCAATAAGCAACAACAAAAATTCGTTAGTCAATCATCGATCTTCATGAATCATAGATTCAGTTCTATTGTAATATTATCAGATCTTCAACATTTTCAATTTATAATACTCCAATTTATCATATCTTTATGATCGATAATTAACAACATATGCACTTCATCTTTAATGTTTAACATTGATCATCAAGCATAATTTTGAAATTAAGGTTAAAAAAAATCTTAAATGGACTCTTTAATATACAGTTTCATAGAGTTCTATATCAATCTAATGATTTGTATGGTTTAAATGGTCCAAATGTGAAGTTTTGTATCAAGATTTATAAACTTACTTGTATGCACTCCAACTGTTTGATGAAATGCATAAACTAAATTTTATGTAATATTCACATATGAATATGTCTTCATATGTGAATCAATATATGATTATTAAAACATAACAAAAATATGTAATCTTCTATGTAGTTCACATGTGAATAACATATAAAATTATATCAATATGTAAATATGTAATGTTAACATTTTCATATACTATTTAATATTCACAAGTGAATATATAATGTAATATTTAAATATGAATATACTGTGTGATATTTACAATTGAATGAACCATATAATATAAAAATGTGAATATACAATGTAATATTCATGTATGGATATTATGTAGTATTCATATACTAATGGACCATATCACAAAAAGCTATGTTCATATGTGAATATAGTGTTCTCATCTAGCTATATTGTGTAATATTCTCAATGAGTATATAATGTAATATTCAATTGTGAATACATTGTTTGATATTCACACATGAATGCATCATATAATAGTCATATCTGAATATAAAATATAATAATTATACATGAATATCGTGTAATATTCACATATGAATATACAATATTACTAAAACCTATACTCATGTGTGAATATACGATATAAACATACTATACTATATAATATTTACAAGTGAATATATCATATAATATATCGCATGTGAATAAGTGAATATATCATATAATATATCGCATATGTGAATTTGTAGGGTTCATGTAAAATGATGTGATTTACAAAACTCACAGATTGACCATGACGTACGGTGTTTTTTGCCATTCGGGACTATTTATGGCTTTAAAACGACATTTTTCTATTTTTCTGATTTTTCGAAAAAACTTATCATTTATTGACAAATGAATATCATATTAACAAAAAAATATATGCTTATATGAGTACTTTATTAACCATAAAAAATTTAGATGGATTTGAATAAATATACATTCTTATCAAATATTTTGTTAACTTTAAGCTTATATGTTTTGTACTTCTCGGTTTTATTGACGGTTTTATTCCTTTGTGAATATATATATATATATATATATATATATATATATATATATATATATATATATATATTCATCAATGAATATTACAGATATTCACATGTGAATATAACTTTTATATGTTATTCACACGTAAATTACATACTTTCTTAACGCCTCAAAACGATGTTTTTTATTTTTCTAAATTTCTGAATTTTTTTTTATCATTTATTCACAAATGAATATCACATTAACAAAAGAAGTTATGTTTATAAGATTTTTTATTAACAATAAAAAGTTTATATTTATGTGAATAAGTATACATTCTTATCAATTACATTTATATCTTTAATGTTATATATTTTGTACTTCTCGGTTTTATTGACAATTTTATTCATTTGTAAATATTACATCTATTCACATGTGATTATTACATATATTTATTTGTCAATATGACATATATTCGGATGTGTATATAATTTTTATATGCTATAAACATATAAATTGCTCACTTTATTTATATTTTTAAAAACATATACTGATTTTTGTGTTAAGGCATATCCACTTGTGAACATTACATGATATATTTAGTTTGTGCAATTCATCATACAGTTTATGCGAATTAAATTTATATAATTATGGTAAAACATGAACACTTGAAGCCAATAATTACAACTCAAGTTAAATGCTATCAAACTAGATGAATAATACATAGATTGAGTTCAAAAATTGTGAAAAAATTATGAAATATGAGATTTTGCAAACCTAAGAAAAAGGAGTTTTACAAAATTTCAGTTGTTTGTTTATGTTGATGAATTTTTGACTTTTATATGTTGCTTGATTTTGATGAATGTTAGATCGATGAAGTTTTGATGATTGACGTACATTAAATGATGTGAGTTCGATAAATATGGATTAGTTTTAAGGTTTTTGCTTGGTGTCAACGAATTTGGAATAAATCGAACGATGATTTATACATAATAGTAAGAATGAATGTTTTTGGATTGTGAATCGTTGCATTTGGATGAACAATCAAATATTTTTTTACGAAGAATAAATGTTTTTATAAAGTGTCGATGATTTTTGATGAATAACAAATGATCTTGATGAACATGTGACTTTGATGAAGAACTTATGATGTTGATGAAGAACATATGATGTTGATGAAGAACGGAAAAACGATTCAGATGCATGGTGATACATTACAAACGTACCCATAATAAATTAAACTAAATGTGCTTTATATATATATATATATATATATATATATATATATATATATATATATATATATATATATAAAGGATTGTCTGAGAATGATTTTTCTATTATAAACTTTTTTTTCTCAAATCATACGAGGTTCAATATAGAACCATTATTAACAAGGAAACCAAAGAACCAATTCTGAGCGTCGGTATCATAATGATCAACAATTAATGGGTGGTTGTAGATTTGTACATTAAACGCACATACATTTGATTATGTAAAAAACTCAACATCTTTTTTCATTTAATATTTTTAAATCATGTTTTTTATCGAAAGAAAAAACGAATATATCATTGTTCACGATTTTCCGTCTTCTTTCCATAGAGATCCTTATTGATATATGAACATAATTTTTTCGGAAAAAAATCACTTCGTTTTGTTGTTTTTTTTTCAATATTTAGGTTTACTTTTATCCTAAAAAAACTAAAAATATAAAAAATCTCAATTTTTGTCCAATATTAAAAAACATCAGCATCAATAAAAAAAGCACCTTCACCTGTTCAGATTCACACTGTCAATCTGAACTTTAAATATTTCAGTTTTAGCATTCACAATGTGAATCTGACTTACTATTTCAACATTTTGATAATTTACAAATTAATTTTGTGAAATTTACATATGAATAGAAATATATTTCTATGTAATTTTATACTACTTTAACGTTTTGATTACTTATAAATTAGTTTTTGTAAAAATCAACAAATAGATTTATCCATATTGTGAATTTGAACTTATATAATTCAGTTTTCAGAGTTTACAATATTAATCTAATTTACTATTATTTGCACTATGAATCTGATCTGAATATAATTCGGTTTTTGGCAGATCAAAATCTGAATCTGAGCTGAAATTTCGATTTTTTTTTTAATTTTTTTTACATCAGTATGAATCTATGTTTAAACAGTATAAAAAAATATATGAATTTTGATATATTTATTAATTTAAAAAAAAGACATTAACTTTTCAAAAAACAAAGAAAATGAAGTGGTTGTTTTTGAAAAAAAGTTCGTTTTTTAGATATCAATATCGATCTCTATTTAAAGACGGCGAAAAATAATGAACAATGTTATATTCAGGTTTTTTTCGACAAAAAGCATAGTTAAAAAAAAATAAAACTAAAAAAGAAAGTGAGTTTTGGTATAATCTGGTGCATTCACGTCTAATGTGCATATCTACAACCATTCCCTTAGCATCTATCGCTTAAAATTTCGATGTTTTAAATTGGTTCCGTATTCATTGATTAATAATGGTTCTCTATTGAACTTTTCAATTAGATGCTTAAAATTCCGACATTTTAAATTGGATCCGTATTCATTCATTAATAATGGTTCTCTATTGAACTTTTCAATATATATATATATATATATATATATATATATATATATATATATATATATATATATATATAACATATGTGTCGATCGTTGTCTCTAGTTTGAACAATGAAATTTTTGGAGCCAAAACCGATGTGATTTAAAATTGGTAAATAATTTAGAGAGAATTGATTGATGAAATTACACACGTAAACTTGGATTGAAGCAAAATTGAATAGTGGATATGTTAGTAACGTTTTGATTTCAGTTTTAGTGGTTTTGACCATCATACGTTTTTGCCTTAAGTCTAATCTCATGATAACGAAGATGATTATGTGGTTAGATGATTGAATAGTGGATATGTTAGTAACGTTTTGATTTCAGTTTTCCAGTTTTAGTGGTTTTGACCATCATACCTTTTTGCCTTAAGTCTAATCTCATGATAACGAAGATGATTATGTGGTTAGATGATGTTCTTTGGTATATATATATATATCTATATATATATATATATATATATATATATATATATATATATATATATATATATATATATAGAGAGAGAGAGAGAGAGAGCGAGAGAGAGACAGAGAGAGAGAGAGAGAGGTTCAGATGTTTAAAGTAATTATTGTGTTATTTTATGTATAAATGTGGACCAATCATTTTAAAAACGTAGATAGGAGTAAAATTGTAATCTTAGCTTTTAATTAATTTTGGTAATTAATCATTCAAATCATAAACCCTTTAATTTAGGCAAAATCGTTTACATTAACCGTTTTAAAACCCTAGACAGAAAACATCGACCTTTAACAATCAAGCAGCTCTCGGCTGCTTCTCTCCCGGTTCCGGCATAGTGTGTGAAGGGAAGAGAGGTGGGTGGTTCAATCGACGAGATGAAGAGGCGGCAGTATCAACGTTTCGACCCATTTCAGAGAGCTCATGATACGTCAATGGCTGACCCATCTTCATCATGGATTTTGCCAGCTCAGCCGGCGTAATGGATTTTGCCTATCAAACGATTGAAAGATCTGCAGAAGCTCATGTTGATTGATCAAAATATCTTCGTTCATCATCTGCGATGACATGGCGCTTACCAATTCATTAAACTTGACAGTCTCGCAACCATCAGAATCCATGTTCTTGAACAGCTTATGGATATGCTCTCTGGTTGGTTTCAGGCCAAGAGAGCGGAGTAGGGCCGCCACCTCAAGGTGGGTGTGGGACTCGTCTTTGTCCAGGTTGAATCTTGTAAATATTTCCCGGAGCTGGTTCAGTTGGTCCTCCGGCAAACTTGACATGGTGACGAACGGCGGTTGATGGTGGTGCTGATCTCTTAGGGATATATGTTTTTACAATGATATAGATTAGATTGGTGGCGGTGTAAGGGTGAAATTTGTCCAGGTCGAATCTTATAAATTAGGGGGTGTTCGGTGGGTTTGCTTCGACGGTGGTTGAGAGACAAAGAGGTCGATGGGTACAGGTTTCTTCCTTCTTCTTCTTATTTTGACTGATTTACGGTAAACCAATGAAGTTTAATCTTCAAATGGGTTTTTTTAATTTGATTTGATTTCTATATATAGAATGGATGTTTGGGTTGATTGTTTGACATAAATCAAAGAAATTGTGGATGTGTTTAGGTTTATTGACTAATTCTTTCAAGGTGTAATATTTTTGGTGAATTGAGAATTTGTTCTGATTGTCTAATTTTTACAAGAAATTGAAAGTTGTTTTGATGCACACCAAGCGCTCGCTAAAATGTTTCAACTGAATGGTATTTCTTTGTTTATAGTATTCTATGAGAAAAGAATATTTTTTATGATAATCATGAACATATTCTGTTACAATGCCCGAATTAATATAATTATTGTTAAATGAATTCCAATTCTATCAGAATGGAATCACGAATTGCAATTATGTTGGAATGGAATATGAATATTTTCTCACTAATTTATTCATTGGATTCGTTTCCACAGAAGCTGATGCTTAAAGAACGGACCACGAAATTTGAACGACACCTCTTAGCAACATTATTCTTTTAGAATGTATTAGTGTCTTTGTTAGATTTTGATTTTTTTTTCCAGATTTGAAAGTTTTTTTAGTTTTATTCTTTAACAATAAATGTAATTCTTAGCAATTGTTACATGTATTCTATAAGAAATAATGTAATTTTTGTTTTAATTCTTCAATTGTTGGTTCGAGAATTTGTTATTCTACAAGAAATTTTTAAAGTCATGATCAAGAAATATGTTCAAGAATATTTTTATTATTTTATGGTTTTAGAATATTTTTATTTTTAAACATACTCAAACATATTCTGTCAGAATGTCCGAATTAAAAACCTTATAATTTGTAAAATCGAATTTTTAAAATTAATAGAATCTATGATCCTTTAACATATGCAAATTTCCTTTATTAAATCTATATTAATTGACTAAAATACCCTTCTAGTTAAATTTGATTGTATTTTTCAATTATATTTAATTCAATTATATGTATTAATCACTTTTCTTAAAATAAGTAAAATGATTGGCCTATATTTATGCATACAATAACACAATAATTACTTTGAATATAATAACCTAAGCTATATATATATATATATATATATATATATATATATATCTATATATATATATATATATATATATATATATATATATATATATAATGAACAATGTCTCGATCGTTGTCTCTAGTTTGAGCATGCTACGCAAAAGGGAGTGATCCATAAGTAGCATACGTAGCCATCTTCTTAATCATAAGTTTTTCGTTCGCTATCTTTTCTCATATATATATATATATATATATATATATATATATATATATAAAGTTCTTTTGAAAATAAAAAAGTAGTTAGACAACGCGAAAATGAATCGAGGAGAAAAAATATTATATGTGAACATAAATTTAAGTATATTTATATATGAATATTACGTTGCAGCGTTACCACCTCCCCTTTTTTCCGCCACCTCCTCCACGGCTACATCCACTACCGTCACCTCCGCCACTGCCAGTAACTGCCACCACCACCTCCACGTCCACCACCTCCTCCACGCAACCACTACTATCTCCGTCATCGCTACTACCACCTCTACAACCACCACCACCACCACCTTTGTCACCAACCACGAGAATCTTATATGAATAATCATTTGTGAACATCGATATATGAATAATCGTAGACAAATAAATTATATAGGAATAATTATATGTGAATATACTACATATATAGCTAATTTTATATTCACATATTAATTATTACATGTTGTTGTGTCGATACATGTAACGCCCGCGTTTCCAGGCTAGACATTATCCTTGATGTAATAGTCTAGGTTAGCATTTGTAACTCTATTTGAAGTATTAATGATGAAATATTTGAGTATTATGTGAATTATGTGATTTACGTGTTTGTTTTCTTAATTATTATAATTTAACGGATTAAGAATAAAATAAGTGTCAAAAGTAAAGTGTGAGATAAGTCCGATATCTTCGCGACAGGACCGGCACGACGCTGAATGACGTAAAAAGTAAATTTACGATAGAGCGATATTTAGCCTTAGTGATCTAAACGAATGTTGTAGATTTCGTTAAACCGAGAGCGTGCATAAAAAGGATGCCCAAATCTGACTTCGTATGAGGAAGTTATGATTTTCCGAAGTTTCAGCTTAGCAGTATGCAGCCCGAATCTCGAATATGAGATCGAGTGATTTTTAGCCGAAGCAATATAAACGAGAATCGAAGATCTCGTCATTAGTAGTGCAACGATAAAAAGACAGACGAAAACGGACGCCGGATGAAGAAGTTATGAATTTATAACGGAGTTTTCCTGTCCCGGCCTACTAAAAATAAATAATAAAAATAAATTCAAAATTAGCCAACGGAGTCTAAACGAAAGTTGTAGAGCGTAGTCTCACCTACGCGTGGATATAAAGAACGTCAAAAACGGAGTTCGTATGAGGAAGATATGAATTTTTGAAGTTTATTAAATAATTAAAATATATATTTAATTAAGAATTCCGGATAATATTCGAAGGAGTCACTGATCCTATCCGAACTACGCCCAGCGTAGTTGAGTACGCCCAGCGTACCTCGGTGCATGAACCGCCTCGGACTCAAGTGCTCCGATGATGTAAGCGATGACGATTCCGAAGCACTACACCCCGCGTAGCTGAGCATTACGCCCAACGTAATGCGAGGCTTCTGCCCCTATATAAAGGATGCGAGGGCAGCCGGCCTTTTTGCTCCTTTTCTTTTCTCTCTCTCCCGTGTTACCTCTTTTTTCGTGCAAGAAATATCCCGAAGCCCCGGTATCAATCCCGAGACCCGAAGCAAGTCCCGAAGCCCCGAAGATCCCGAGAAGTGCAATTCCCGAGCCGAAGCTCTCCCCGCGAGAAGCCCAATTTTTGTGAAGATCTTCCAGATCTACCGAAGAATACTACTTGTACAAGCCGTAGTGCTGTCCGATCATCTTCTGATCAAGTGAGTGTGTAGTTACTTTCTTCTAATACATAAATACGAAGTATTTACTATGAAATACGTGTTATGTGTTTATATATTGATGTTGATTTGAAGGGGGTACATAATCTCTTTCAAATGCACGATTTTAAACAAGTATCGATTTAACGTACTAAGTATATGTGTTATGTGAGTGTATCGATGTTATCTTCTAATCTCATAGATATGATTTATTCTCTATGAAATACGTGTTATGTTTATGTGTCTCATCTTTTATCTGGAATGTGTTTTGAATGAACATACTATACAGGTTTTAAATTATGTATAAAACTGTATATTTTATCTACTAAAATGTTGGGTAGAACATGGGTAGATAGTTGTCTTGTGATAAAAAGATGAGAGACCTCGATGTTTTTGATTTAGTCATCTAGCGGGACTTTTCTAGACAGTCTTGTGGAACGCTAACAGGCTCGCCACCTGTAGGTGTTAATGAACTTGGGTGTTCATTCGTTGTACTCCATCCCCCTCATGGTTGCCTTATTTGACATATATTACTGGGAAACCCCCGAATGCATGTGTTTTCGCCCCGATGAAATATTCTTAGACTAGGTCCCTTATGTTAGTTCTCTTAGGGACGTAAAGTGAGAATAACGGGAATGGGTAATTGGGTTATTGTTGGTTGGTGGAATTAAATATAATTATTTATTGTGGGTTGAAAACCCTATATGCTCACCAAGCTCCCAAGCCTGACCCACTCAGTTTTCTTTGTATTACAGGTAGTGGCGCCAGAGCATAAGTTGGATGACTTGTCAAGTTATTTTTGGATTATAGACATGTTGTTTTATATAACTGTTGTATGGTCTATGTTTTATTGTTTATGCTTTTGTGTCTGTATCGGAACATGACATCCCGAGTTTTGATATATAATGAAAATATATCTCTTTAAGAAATGCTTTGATAAACCTTATTTTATCATGTAATGTTTTTGGGGACAAATTCCGCAACTCTTTTAAATCAATGGATTTACTCTGAAACTATTTTAAAAGCATAAATGAAACCGGTCTTTTCTGGCCGAGATTTTGGGGATGTCACAGTCGGTATCAGAGCATTAGTTTAAGCGAACGAGGAATTTGTAGGATTTCTAGACTTACACTTAGAATGCTAAGTGATGATTTTGAGTTGTGTGTCTGCTGAATTATAGACACGAGCACTAGTTTATTTTAGGAAAATTGCCTAAAATGCTTTTATGTGTGTAGGATTCTAAGTGTACGTCTACGATATTAGAACTAGCATGTAAACGTTCCGGAGTGATAAGGATGGTTTGATTATCTATCGTGATTAAAGATCTAATTTCACCTTATTCGGTGTATAGATCAAGAATGGCAAGAACAAGAAGCAGAGTTGGAAACGCTAACGAAAACAGGAATCAACAGCCTCAACCACCAGTGATTGAGCAAGCTCCGGTAGTAGCTGCAGCACCTGAGCCAATGACAATGGCTGGGGTACAATTGATGATTCAGACGATGTTGGATCGTCAGATGGATGAAACGAGACGTCTGCTTAGGCAGAATCGTGAAGAACTGTCAATTCACGTGGAAGAGCCTGGAGTTAATGGAGGGCGGTCTGAAGGAGAGAACTTTAGTGGGATAATTGGTCAAGACAACCCACCGATAGTTCGACAAAACAACCAAGATGGAGGGAATAATGGACTAGGATGCAAGTACAAGGACTTTTTCACTTGCAAACCATCGACCTTCACTGGAAAGGAGGATCCGATCGGAGTCATGGATTGGATCTCTGAAATGGAGCTGGCCTTCATGACGTGTGGTTGCAAGGGCAAGCT